CAGTAATATAAAAGTTTATTACAAATCCTATAAAACAAAAATATAAAATAATTTTTAACTTACCTTGGTTATTATAGTTTGGTATTTTAATTATTTTTTTGTAAAAATAATTATATATTTCATGAATTTAATTAAAAATAATGTTAAATTTATGTAAATTTAGAGAAAAATAAAGCAAAAAAATAAATGTACTAGAAGTGGAATAGAACCCGGGTACAAAATGTTAAATGTGCGACACACTACCATTGGGCCACTGAAATTGTTCAAAAGTATAATAATTAGAATTCATATTCATTAATATTGAAATAGTTTTTCGGGTTTTTGGGTGACCAGGAGCAATAAAGATTTTTGTAATTTTGTGCAAAATGTTATTTATTCATGCCAATTCATCTAACAATACCAATCTGGCATTTTCAAGTTGGTAATACTCCATTATAAATCATATACTATTAAATGTTGTTAATAATTATTCTAATTTTTTCATGCTAAAACATTCATCAGTAAAATAATAGTAAAAATGTTATTCAAGCTGTAATCAATTAAACATAAATGATAAAAATATATTTGTTTTGCTATACACTATAAATTGGTGCCATATGAAGCTTTCATTAATATATTTTTTGTTTAATAATTAATATCTATTCATTTACCTTGACAAAGTTCATTTCAAACGGCCTTTGTTATGTAAACGCCAACAGCAATCAAAGTTCATAAAAGTTAAATGTCATTATTTATCTCTATGTAAAGTTTTTAAATTATTGAACGTTGAGTAGTGAAATAAATTAGTACTTCGTGTTACTAAGAATCATGATATAAGTGAATGATATTAATACATATAAAATCACCATAATTTTATCAATTTTAATAAAATTCTAAATTTTTGAATATTGGAATTTTGTTTTTGATTTTTTTGGGGCTTGAATGAATTTTTAAATTTTATTATCAATAACTATTTCGTTTAAATATTCCGAGTAATAGCTGAGATCCATTGCTTAAATGTTGGTCATTTTATGCTTATTCTATGGTGGGTACAANTGCTTAAATGTTGGTCATTTTATGCTTATTCTATGGTGGGTACAAATAGGGTATACATATTGTATAAAGAACATACAAAGTTCAATAATTGTTTTTAAATATAGAGAAAAACCGCTATTATATTGATCAATTCATATAATTATTTTGACTATAATATTTAACTTATTTATACTATATTTCAGTAAAACTAGTTATTTTGAGATTAAAATTTTTTCACGGATTGTAATTTTCTGTAATCTAATTATTGGGATTAAAAGCATTAAGTATTTCAAGAAATAGATTATATTTAAATAATTTATCAAAAGTGATTGCTCGCAAAATAATTTCAAGTATTTGAATATTACTATTATTACCAATTAATACTAATTAATTTGTAGTGTCAAAGCATCAATAATAAAATTAAAATTTAAAGATATATTTTCAAAACAAACTGTATATGTTTTTTAAAATAATTTTTAAACAAATTGTTATTATTTTGAAACTAATAAAGTTATAAAAATATAATTAATTTTTGTATAATTAAATAACATATTTTATCAACTTACAAAGTTTTATTTGATTAGGATTAAAAATTTTATTATACTCTAATAAGCTCCACTTATAATATTGATTATTTTATATGATAATTAAAAGTATATAAAGCTATGAAATGAAGTTACACTAAATTTATTGATTAATATTACTATTAATAATGAATTTTGTATTTATAATATACACCTTTGTGGTATTGAGTAAGTAATTAATAAGATCATTTTATAATAATATTCTGTATATGTCATATTAAATACAAACATTAATATCATTGTGTAGTAAAACTGAGCAAGGCAGATGTCAATTGCGACAAAGACTGGGACGCATACGAGGATAAAAAATGTTTCAAAATCCTGACTAAAACAATGGCCACATATGACGATGCCTTGGTCAATTGCAAACAACTGGACAATTCAGCTACAATGCCTATTATACATTCACAATCTGAGCAAGATTTTATATCGGATTTATTATTCAACAAGCACCAAATAGTCGATACGGTATGGATTGCCGCTAGAGTTGACAATAAAGTGGTCACATGGGCTGATGGGTCTAAAAATGACTATGCTAATTGGGCATCCGATAGACCCACTAACAAGTCTGCCGAGTGCGTGGAAATGTCATCGGAAACACCTAATGTCGGTAAATGGTTGGACGAGCCATGCACCAAAATGAATCTAGTAGTATGCCAAAAAATGCAACATTGGTCATTGGATCACATTGAACAATTATTGATTGAGTATAAAAAGGAGATTGATAATAACAAAAAGGAACTTGATAATTTGAAAGCAAATACGATACCAATAGGCTTTATATACGTGCAATTACCAAAACAACCCGAACCACACATCCTATGGCCTAACAATGAGTGGCAAAATGTAACCCCGGATTATGCTGGCTTATTTTTTCGAGCAGAGGGTGGCAGTAGTAATAAATTCGAAGGGGGAACCCAGAGTGCTAATTCACCTAGATTAATTGGTGTTAAAGAAAGAAATACTCCTAATGTTTATGATGCTACGATAACACCCGGTTCATGGAGTCAATTCATATTATCTGGTAAGAGTGAACAACCTACTGCTGGTTTAAGTTTTCTAGTATCCAACGCTGAAACTATGCCTATTAACCAATCAATTCGTATTTGGAAAAGGGTCAAGTAATAGTTCAAAGAATTATATTAAAAATTATAAATACATTATTGTTAAGCTAATATTGTATCTATAGCAGACTCCTCAAAGATAGGCTCCTTGGAGCCAAATTCTTACACGTTTTTAATATCCTTCATATGTAAGGCTCACAAATATGGTACACATGAGTGTGAGTGGGAGATATAAAATATTAACTTAAAACTATAAACTGTAATATTGAAATAAAGTATTAAATATACTATTTTTATGTTTAAAATATTGATTTATTCATAGAAAAGTATCTCTGATTAAATTCAATAAGTTGAGTGGTGATTATTTTTATACTCTGATTCTGTGCTAAAAAGCAATGTAGAAATTTCCAAATATTCACATTTACAGGTGACTGTGAATACAATGAAAATAGTAATGATGTGTTTATAAAGAGCTTTATCTACTGATAATCTGGATGAATTAAATAAATTATTAACTACATATTTTTTGTTTTTATACATTTTGAGGTCTCTGATCTATACTATATAAAATACTGTATACTTCGGATATATACTGTATAATTTTATAGTCTAACAATAAATCTTCAAAAAATAATTTTTAAAATAAATTCATATAAAACTTTTTATACTAGAGGCCAATCATAAGTGTATCAGAAAAATGCTTTAATCTTAATCTTTCAATATTAGAGATCTCATTAGATATTATACATTAGAGATTAAGATTTGACATTAAAACGCAATTTGAAATTAACATAATTTAAAGTTTAAAAGTTTTGTTTTATTTAATTGCAACAATAGTTTAATTAACTAATGTTACAAATACATGATAAAATAATAAGGATTTGTTTGATAATATATGTATAGTATCGAAATTCCTTGTTATTTTCGTTTCTTTACAAAAATGTATTTCATTATAAATACATTATAATAAATGGTAAACATGTCACCTAATATGAATGTTTATATCTCAGTAATGCCATACATTACCTATGTTACAGTCAACTATTTATATGTACAGAAACGACATTATGGATTTTTTTACACATTTATTCCCATAGGTCACACGTGTATAGGACAAGGCAACGCACTTACTTTATCAAGGTGTTTTCTATAACATATTAATTATTAAATAAAATTAAGTTTTATTTAAAAAATTATTTATTTGGAGAGCGAGAACACAATTCTGTATAAAATTGATACCAGTACATATTATTAACCTAAATTGATTATTACTTACAGCTTAGATTTTAATATTTATAGTAAATTCTTTAACATTATAGTAAATTTTACTATAAATTAGTTAACGTATATTGGTAATAATATGTGGAAAGTCAACCCTTTGGACCTGGCTCAATTTTATTTATTAAATTTTGTATTTGAGCACCGAGCATGGTTATTTAATGGAATTTAAATGCTTATTGTATTAAGCACATTATTTTAAATTGTGTTTTCTAAACATGTCCTTGATAGCAATGTCAATGAATACTGCATAGTGCCAATTATTAAAATATTCTGAAAACTGTTATTAATTATCAAAATAATTTTTAAATTAATTTTGTTGCCAAGTTTTAAAAAATAGTAAAAAGTGTTTGTTAATTTAATTAGTAGAGTGATCATAATAATGATTGTGAAAATTGTAATTTTAAAACTTATAACTTAATACTGTTGACACCCATTCAACTAAATCTAAATATCCATGATAAGTATATTTATTGTTTTTTATGTTAACATTTCAGTAAAATATTTATGTATTGTTAATGTAACTAAAACATTGTTACATATTTTTTCAGTATAAAAGATTTGTAAAACAATATATTTTTATTTTATTAGTGTAATCTATTATATTTTAATTATTTTGAATGTTTAATTGTATATTATCAGTTAATTATTATATTTTAATTATGAATATATTATAAAAATACTGCATACTCATTTACAAATTATTATACATGAATAGTATTGAATTAATTGATACAACCTGGAAACTCACTACTTTGTTAGTAGCTAAGCTAATAACTATTAAGCTGTAACAAATGATACAAATAACTAATTTACAAAGGCCATATTATAAATAATTATTAAAAAAGATTTAGTTTACTAAAAATGTATTTACGTTTTCTAATTAATAGATTTTGGTTTACCGGGATTAACCGTATGAATAGTTTTAATATAAATTTAGTTATCATTTGTGAGTTTGAAAATAAATTTACAATTTATGAAATAATATTTAGTAATTTTTATATAAGGCAGATTAAAAATTTAATGCTTCATATTGTCATCTAATTAATTAAAATGCAATTTATTTAGTGGTAATCCTCAGGACATACACCCATTGGATATGACTGTCCGGATTGAGTACAGGAAATGTCACTTCAGTTGATCCGCTCTTGTCTTCAGTGAACTGAAGGCTATCCTTAACGCCAATCAATTGAATGGACGCAACGGTACTGTACTTAAGGCCTCCCAATAATACCCGTCCACTCTCTGGCCAATGCACTACCGATGCGTACACTTTGCCATCATTTTGTGTATACCTGTCCTCACAAACCATTTCTTGTATTAATAGATGTTTTGAATGAAAACCCATTTTTGTGTCATAAATACCAGACATCAGGAGTGATGGTATCGTTTTGATGGGTCCACGGCTTCGACCCGTAAATCGCTTCTCCATTCCTCTTAAGCCATAAACCCATTTGTTTCAGCCTTTCCTCAAATATAGGTGTAATCCTCCCGTCATGTGTGGGCCCGGCGTTTATCAACAGATTTCCGCCGCAACTAATCAAACAAATAATTTAATTTAATTATGAAGTAAACACCACTTATAAACACATTGGGTTTTAATAAACAGTTAGTTAGGATTATTAAAGGTACTGGTTGAAAATGTGTAGTTTTAATTTTGTTGGTATCATAGCCAGATGAATCAATCAAATTAATAATGAGTTTTCTAGATATGCATTTAAATGGTTATAAACTGTAGGTAATGTATTAATCAAATGAATTTATAATAAGTGATATAAAATTCATAATTACTTTAAAAATAAATAGTTTTTAAAAATAATCTTATGGTTAATATATTTTATATCTTATACCACAGTTTAATTAAATAACAATTCATAGAACTTAAACAATATTTCATAAAATACCTGACAGTCTGTACGAGTGTTTCCATAATCTCTTTGGGCGACAGGAAGTCCTCCAAAACGGCTTCCCGTCTGAAAGTCCAGGCATTCCTATCAATAGTCATAGCGTTCTCCCACTTATGGGTCTGTAATACCTTTGGGTTGTATTTATCCCAACAGTTCCAATAACCCCCGTGTTTGCAGTTTGTCGTCCGATTGGGAACGTTACCTAGTTCATATTAATCATGGTCATAGTGTATATTAAATATATTTAGCCATAAATACTGACCCCATCTATCATTCACGACAATTGTATCCTTTACGGGACTAAACGTTATAAATAAATGTGTATTAGTTTTCTGACTAATTAATAGTAGGATTGTATGGTTAGGGGACAGACCTAACGTTGTACAGCCAGCTCAAGAAGTCGGTGCTCTCCCAGTATTCTTCGGGGGACTCATACTCGCCGTCAGACCACAAGAGATCCGGTTTATATTTGGTGATCAACTCCTCCCTTTCGGGTCGGGATTTGGTCTATGGATGTAATTATGAAAATGTTATGCAAACTGTAATCAATAGTAAATAAATTATAAAAATACGTCTATTATTCAAAAATGTACAATAATTGATCCACTGGGTGCTTAAAAGGGTTATCTATTTTTTAATGCAAACTGTAAGCATAATCATTGCATTTCTCAAAGTAATAAACAATACTAGATACTATAAGTGCAATGATTATGTTATGTATACAGTTTGAATTGAAAAATAAATAACCCTTTTATGCATGTAGACGATCAATTGTATTGGCAATGAATTCTTGTGTGATAGTCATATTTGGATTTTTCACATTTTTTGGTTTATAAATTATAACAATGTATGGACACTATTATAGAAGCTGTGATCAATTACATATAAATGATGAAAATATGGCATTGACTTAGAAAGAGAGAGAGAGAGAGAGAGAGAGAGAGAGAGAGAGAGAGAGTTTATAAATTTTTATTTAATTTGTGGCAATAATATATTTATTCGCCCACATAATAAATATTTAGCACTTTTAAAATTACAAAATTGTTAAGCTGTGATCAATTACATATAAATGATGAAAATATGGCATTGACTTAGAAAGAGAGAGAGAGAGAGAGAGAGACAGAGAGAGAGAGAGAGAGAGAGAGAGAGAGATGGTTACATACAGTATATTTAATTATAATTATTATTAAAGTATTTAATATAGTTAATAATTTACTAATTATAGCTGGAATCACATATTAATAGCTCTCTCTCTCTCTCTCTCTCTCTCTCATTCTGGACCACATAATTGAGAGAGAGAGAGAGATATGTGATTACAATTATAATTAGTAATTTATTAACTGATTTACCTTTAAACTAAATAAAATAATTTGTAAAAATTAATATTAATATTAACGTTAATTTAATATTTAATAATAATTAAATATATAACCAGCTTTCTCTCTCTCTCTCTCTCTCTCTCACTCACTCACTCACTCTTTGACGGGTGGTCCGGGGTTTTTAAAGTCAATGCCTAAACATATGCTATTCAATAAACTATAAACTATATTGTGCGCAAAATAATCTAAGAACTTCAGCAATCATATTTATAATAATTCTATTTTAATTAATAATTATTATTTATAAATCTACCTTGACAAAGTTTCTTGTTGTCCAGTTATTAGCCTTGTCCTCGAGGTATAGCGGGTTCAACCACTCCATCCACGAGTGATATGTCCCGAAATGCATACCCTTTGCCCTCACGGCTACCGATAAATCACCTGGATAAAGTTTTTAAAAAATTTAAAATATAAATTTCAAAATGTGATTACTATTTTCGCCTAATCAATATATTGTCAATTATCTAAAAATATAAATTTTTCATTTACATTACTTACAATTAAAATAATATAATATAAAATTCAACTTAATGTTCAAAATAATATTTATACGGTTGAGACTATTGCCAAATGAGTGTATTTTATAAAATTACCATAAATTAAATTTTATTTTCAGTTATATTTACAGGTTAAACATTGTATATTTGTCTAACTTACAGTATCTAGCTACTAACCTAACAAATCTCTACTAGGTCCAACATCCATGGCGTTCCAGTTCCACGAGTATTTCGATGGCCATAAGGTATAGCCCTCGCAGTGTTTGCTGGTCAGCACCACATACTGGGCGCCGGCATCCCTATTAAAAACATATTAATTTAATACATAAAACAATAAATCATTTACTAATGACTCACTTGAATATATCGGCCCAACGGTTGGGGTCATAAAACTCAGCCGTGAACTGAGTGGCAAAGTCGGCGTACGTGAAGTTTGGCCGATAGTTTTTAGCCATAAAATCGGTGAAGTCTTTAATCTTGTCAATTTTCCAATGTTCCCTGGGTATTTTTTAATTGTTAATAAAATTATAAAATTATTGTGCGTGTAATACGCAAAAAATAATGTTTACGTACGGAAACCACGCGCTATTGAATGCGGGCACAGAGTATACGCCCCAGTGTAGGAATATGCCAATTTTAGCCTGGTCATACCACTCGGGTAGGGGTCGACTGTCCAGTGACTCCCAGTTTGGTTCATAGCGTTTAGCCAGCGATTGAACGCTACATACAATTAGCATAAGAAATATAATGGATATTATTTGAGACATTATTTAGTATAATGGGGGAAATAATATAAAATAAAAATAAATATTATTTTGATTTAGTTTATATACACAAGCAATGATAGACAACCCATTGTGAATGTTTTTAATAAAAATGTAATAATCATTTGATTGTTTGACATTTACATTACAGTTTTTGATAATATTTATTCTTACTATGGGTATTGTCCATAAGCTTTAAATTGTCAAGGTCGAAAATGTAATTATTACAATCTGGGATACACCTGAATTGCACCATGATTACTGTAGAGATACCCTGGTACAATCAGTGTTAAAACAATGAACATTATTTGTAATCAATACAGGTTTTGTATTCATAATCTGTTTATCAATTAAATTACAATTGTTTTTAGTAACCATAAGTCAATCACAAGTAGAAATTATTGTAGTTTTTAATATTAAATAGTAATCGCATAAATGCTTAAGAGTTTATCATTTATGATGGTACACCTAAATTGCACCAAGATTATTTCAGAGATACAATGATATTTTTAGTGCAAAAACAATGGAGTTTAGGGATAAATGTTTTGTTTTATAATCTGTTTATCATTTATTATATATCATTGATATTGGATATCTACTTTATATTAGCTGTATTATCAATTAATTAATATACCAATATGTGACGCATATGTACCTTGTTTAAAATATTCAAAAATAAATAAAACATTTGCTACATAAGTCAATACAAAAATCTTTACAATTAATTCAATAAGCAAGAGTAATATTGACAGTAATGTAACCCAATTTTAAATTATACAAATCAATCGTATAGTGCATGTTATTAATTAAAAATATTTTACAGTTTTAAAACATATGAATAGTAGAGGTCCGAAGTG